ATATTATTCAATACAATAAAATTATGCCAGTGGCACCCAGTTTTGGTCTCAGATTTCTGTATCTGTTTCATGATAATTTTCTTTCTTAATAGGAAAGTAGGTAATCAGCCTTCTGTGCCTGACACATGTCGACTTGTGACTTGGGAGTCTAAAGCATGCCGGCGCTACAAACTACATTACATTGGCAAACAGCTATGATTCAAAAACACTTCAGGTTGGTAAAGCGCACGCACTTCTCTTTTTATTGCCCTTGTGATATTATACTATCTTTATTACCTGTTGCATATGTTCAGTGGAGCACCGATGAGCCAAATCTGCGAGGTGCTGGAAGGCCCGCGTTCGCAGATGTTGACGTAACGCTAGCACGCGCTGTTGGCACATGTTTGCTATTAGACGACATTCAATCGCAGCGTGTGCGCTTTCAGCTGATTGTATGCGCTGTCGCCATTGCTGAGACACTGTAATGTACATTAAAATTCGAAAAGCGCCGTTACCGCTCTTCAAAACTAAAATCACAGACTTGATAAACTCCTAATTTGGCTGGCAAAGCACTCGCCTTCTGGCAATGGACGGTATCACTTAACATCAAATTTAACTTATTTACCTCTTTGATATAATAAAATGAGTTTCCTATAAAAGCACCTTAGAAAAGTAATAACCAAACACTAGGCTACGCCATGAGAAAAGGACCAACAAAATTATAAAAACAATTAAACTGTACAAAAAAAATTATATACAAAGTTTTTTTTTTATTAATACTACACAGTTATCAACTTAGCTTTAAGCTGCTCCGTCTGATTTTACAAGTCCATAGATACAACACACATTAAACATAAAAAAATAATAAAACTTAAAAAGTATCAAATTACAAACAACTAAATTTTCAACCCAAGCCAACTGGCATTCAAAAAAAGTTTCATAATTACAAATAATAAAGCGACGTTTTTTTACTAAATTTTCATGTAAAACACCGTTTTTAATATAAATCAATTAACTTACATTTTTCCTTAACTCCATCAGACTCTTTGACAGTCTTCAGAGAGGACAGAGATAATTTGGCTTCCAACTCTTTAATTTTCTTCTTAAGCTCCTCATTTATCTTGACATATTGTGACGCGCGTATATCACCATCAACAATATTCTTTTTAATTGATAGTTGGATTTTATTTGCTCTTGCAGCGTATTTGAGTGTGTTGTATGTGTCTTCATATGTTATATTTGATGGGGATACATTAGCGATCATAACTGTCTTACAGTTGCCACCAAGACTGTCTTTAAGAAGACGAGTCAATTTTGAATCTCTAAAAAGTTACACAATTATATGTAAAGATATTTGGACATTCCACCCAACTATTTTCCTTCAGCAGTCAACATTGCAATAATTACAATTATTGATGACAATCTACTCAATTTGTTCATAGAGAAAATAATTGAAAATTGGATTTAATAAACTCACTAATGATAAAAACACCAAGAATATTATATTGTAAAATACTTATATTAAACATACCTGTAAGGAATATAATTGCTTCCGTCAGCCAATTTGTTGATACAATTACCAAGTGACAAGAGACTTTTATTAATATTAGCACCTTCTTTGAACCGGTCTCCTTTACAACCAGTAGCTGATGCGCGCTCACTACCAGCAAGATCTATCATAGATAATTTTACCATACGAAGCTGGCTGCTAATCTTATACCGCATTTTAACATACACCTTAAACAATTTTTTTCACATTTACTTACATTTTGGAATAAATCTAAGTTAATATAAAAATTATAGTATTTATTTAGTCTTTTTGTTAGACAAATATATTGATAATTTTAAAGTACCAAAACTTGCATAAACAAACCTGAAACACAGCATGACTCCTAGAGCTTTCGGCATTAGCATCAGTAGGATGTTGTGTTCTGTTTTTATTTCCATCTTCAAGCATGTTAAGAAGCTCTCTAGCTGTTTTAATGGAATGAAGGCTGAGACCAGCTACCATCACCCCATATTTTGAGTCTTCCCGAAGTTGGAGTGGAGTAGAAGAAGGTTTAAGCAGATCATACACATTTTCATTATAAACCTAAAAAGGCAAAAAAGGTTGCAATATAAAGTAGTAGCATTGAAAAGTAACGCTTACTAGGATACTAACCTCAATATATGACACTCCAATATCAAAATCTCTATCCTTTTCGAATGAATCAATTGTGTAAAACAAGTGCTCCATTGTTAAATAAGTAATACCAGGATTCTCTTGAGTTCCAATCATAGTAAACGTTTTCCCAGCCCCAGTCGCTCCATATGCAAAGACTGAACAATTATACCCCTCCATTAGAGATGAAATAATCTCCTTTGTTGTGGTTTCAAATACATCTTGATTTGAGGCTTCCTGACCACAAACATCATCGAAGACAAACTTTAACTCTTTGTTAGCACGTTTCAGGAAGTTCTTGTTAGGCTGCTGGACCCCCTGATAAAAGAAAGGTCTGGTTTCTTCCTTCGGGTCAAACACTAACATTTTGTCATCAACAACGTCTACAACAATACGATTGTTCGACTGCATTTCTTTCATATTTAAGGGACGAACCCTCACCACTACTTTAATATTAGCAGACATGTTTTGGTGGACCCGGTTTTCGAGGGAGCAGCTACCGAACCCTTTTTCGCGCCCAAGCCAGGGCCTTTTTGCAGTCCCACCATCTTTATATCAATCACAAGTCACACACATTTAAGTCATTAAAAACTTTAGAAACACTTATAATATACTGTTTAAGTATCTAAATATACCAAAAAGTACTTTTCGTTAAAATTATCAGAACACTTTCTCACCACATTCATCAATTGGTTGCGGGTTGCCGTTCGTTATTCGTTTGATTTGAAAATAATCGAAGGCACCAACCGTCAAATTTTAAAACTGATATGACAAGCGATGCTACATACAATATACCAGGCACAGACTACTAAATTAATTAGGCTAGTTGGCTGCGACATTTATATTTCTATGCATTGATCAAGTACATGTTATATCTGTGGTTACTGGCTACTTAATTTTTTTTACCTTATATTATAGTCTTTTCATGAAAGAAGTCCCCCAGACGCAGCGCTGTAATTACCTATTTTACATTTAGCATATTTTATTTATCAAATATTACTATTTTCTGCATACTTCGATGAAACAATATTTCTGTTATGTAAAAAGTATATTTTTTTTACTTATATAAGCGGTGTTCTACCTACTTACAAGGATAAGATGAGAAAATAGGGTAAAGAAAAGCAATACAATTTTTTATTCAGAGTTTTAATGAATCATTTTAGATCAGCGGCCATAGGAACATCACTGTCTGAAGAGTGGATGGAAACAGAATCAGATTCTGTTTCAGTATCACTAGCCGTAGATATAATTGTTCTTTTAGAAGTTATACTTCTTTAGGCGCGTTATGAAAAATTGATCAGAGTGAAATTTTACGATGCGCGCGTACCTGAGACACAAAGTTGTCAGTGTGATTATAGCGTGCGCGAGCGAGATGGGAATAACAACAATCTACAAGTAAAAAGAAATAGAATATGCGTGAAGTTAGCAGCTATGCCAAGAATTTTGAATGAACATAATGACATTTACCTTTTGAACAAATAAAGGAGTTTTAATTATTTTTTCAAAGAAATTTAGGAATGCTTTTTCACAAAGACCTATTGTTACTTAGTTAAAAGGTTATGAAGCATACGTAGTTATTAAATTGAATGAATAATATAATAAAATAATATTAATTATTAATATTAATTAATAATTGAATAATATACTAAATATTAAATATTATTAAATTATTAACGTTAAATATTTGTTATTAATTATTTCATATTTTAAAAAAATAAAGAAAGCCAAAGAAGTATAACTTCTTACCAGCGTACATAAGTACACGCCCCTTTTTTTAAATATTGATACTGTAAGAACACCGCTTATATCTATACTAATATTATAAAGAGGAAAAGTTTTGATTTTTTGTTTGTTTGAAATGAATAGGCTCTGAAACTACTGGACCGATTTCAAAAATTCTTTCACCGTTGGCAAGCTACACTATTCCCAAGTGACATAGGCTATGTTTAATTTTCAAAAAAATAGGGATGCTTACTAAAACTTGAATAATCTAACCCAAGGTGTAAAAAATAAACAAAAAACTTCTTTCAATCGTGTGCGCTGCAAAAACTATTAATGATAGAACAAAATGATGTATTACAATTTTTTAGGACACATCACTATCTATAAAAATTGTCGCGACAGCATGACTCTATCTTTTATAGTTACGTCACAATTAGCGTCCTTTTATTAATTTTTTTTTATTAAAATACCACCGCTAGAAAAGGCTCTTTATTCGTACCTAGGTATTGATCCTTATCAAAATAATTACCAACGTTTCACATAAGCTACTAATACTACTAAATTTAATGGCATAACCACCAAAAATGCATGGTGGATTGGTGTTCTCCTGCCTTTTCTCTTAAATAGTTTACTACTATGTAATATAACAAAAATCTTAGCCACAGCAAAGCTTGGCCGAGTCAACTAGTAAGTAAATAAAAATATACTTTTTACATAACAGAAATATTGTTTCATAGAAGTTTGCAGAAAATAGTATTATTTGTTTAATTAAATATGCTAAATGTTGGCAACATTACGTCATGCGATTACAGCGCTGCGTCTGGGGGACTTCCAAGTTCCAGTAAGAACTATGAGTATATATTATTTCTCTATGGGGACTTCTTTCATGAATAATATTAATACTGGGGTAAGGGGTTTAGTCTCGTAAACTGTAAATTGCCCATAATAAAATAATTTAGTATCCTAGTAGTAGCTCTACATTAACATCATTTACACTAAAATAGTTCTTCAACATAATACTTTTTTTCATGGTGTTGTAAGAATATGTTATTTTTCAGTAGATATTATCTATCTACTCGATAGTACTGGTAATGTTTCATTGAATAAACACTATAATTTAACTTGAAGCAAGAACAAAATGTCAGGTAAGATTCTCCATAACAAAGGATATGATTTAAATATTAGGTTTTATCCCACTGATTCTTCTATTCAAATATTAGGCAGGAGAGAAAGATCTCGGTCTCCCAATAGGAGTCGCAATAGGATTAAGGATAATCACGATGGCACTAAAATAATGGAGGTACCAAATGCAATAAATCCTATGATGATACAAAATATGTTTCCCCAAGGTAATTAAAGCTTCATAACTTCTTCCTATATCTTAAATAGTGAATGTAGAAATGTCTATCCAAGATTATTAATATAATATATAATAATTTTTGTAGGTAATATGATGATGGGTGGAATGTATAATATGATGATGCAAAACAGCATGATGGCTGGGGGTATAATGCCACCCCCTGGTATGGAAATGATTCCAAACCCAGGTCTTGAAATTATGCCACAGCAAACTATGGATATTCAAGCTATGGGAACCTCTGCCTTACCCAACGCGCCTGCAAATATAGATATGAGTATGATGGGAGGTGTCATGATGGATCCAACAGTGATGGCAATGTATCAGAACATAACACCAAATGTATTACAAGAAAAAAAGGAAATTGTGTTTAAACACTGTAAATTAATACCACCTGCACCAGGATCATCTGAACCACCTAAAAGAACAAGACCTCCTGGATGTAGAACAATCTTTGTTGGAGGCCTACCAGACAAAATAAGGGAGAGTGTTGTGAGAGATGTGTTTGAAAATTATGGTAGGATCCAGATCTTGCGTTTATCAAAAAAGAACTTCTGCCACATACGTTTTGATAGAGAAAGTTGTGTAGAAGCTGCTATGGTTATATCAGGATATAGAATAAAGCTAATAAATCGGGATAGTGATATGGATGAAGATGACGATGATGATGAGGCACAGGGAACTAATGGATGGTTGCATGTTGACTATGCTTTGGTAATTTTATCATATTTTTTTTTTTACATTATGATCACTTATATATTAAAAATAGAGTTTTATACATTGAAGAAATAGAAGCCAACAACTTACTCTATTTGGAATTAGAATAAATTTTGTTGTGTTCTAAAGCTATTTTTATTACACTTTAACATTGATAGATGTATGAATATGACTTTGATATTCCAGAGTAGAGATGATCAGAATGAATATGAGAGGCGACAGAGACAGGCTTTGAGGGTGCAGCAGCAAATGCAACAATTATCAGCTCAGCAGGAACTAGCTGATAATAGTATGAACTTCCAGCCCCGCTCTCCATCTCCTGTTAGGCTACAGCCATTTTCAAATGCTGCCATAACACAATTAGCTGAAAAAATTAAAAGTGAAGAGGCATTTGCTCCAACACTTCCAGTAAGTGAACATTTTACTCAATCACCCTTAAAAGCAACCTTAAGCGCAAAAGCAAATTAAAAAAAAATGAAACTGAGTTCCTGACCTCTTTTAAGTATCTACTTGTGAGTGCTTAAAACTTACCTAATATATTGATTGTACATCATGTCATTGATTAAATTGGTCATTAAAAAAACTATAATTTTTTAATCCTGTAAAATAAAATTTTTCCTATTCTCAACTTCATACTTAAAGTAATAATTATAATATGTATTTATAATTTATTAGTCAATTATTAACACTCAATCAAGATTTGCAGTAAATGCATTCAAAACTTTTAATAATTTATATGGTATTATTAGTATAATAAGACCCTTTATAAGGGTACGCAACTTATACTCTCATATTGTACACATGAAACTGGTTTTAATGGGTTATTATTGAAAATAATATATTTTTAATGCTAATATTAATGCAAAGCTATGTTTATTAATTTTTTATTTTAGACTCTGATATCATGGCTGGAGCGTGGTGAATGCTCAAAAAAGAACTCCAATCAGTTTTATTCAATGTTGCAAGCTACAAATGCTCATATTCGTCGATTGTTTAGTGAAAAAATGCAGGCAGAGGAGGAATTATCTGAATGCAAAGAAAGAGTGAAAAATACTATACAGAAAGTGATTGAACAACGTAAGTATTAACAAATCTCTTTGCTCAATGCTCAGTCAGTCTTCTAATTTGTTACATTTTACAGTCAACATTGAATGAATACAATTCATCAATGGCAAGGTAAGAAAAAATCATGGTTTGCATGCATTAAGTGATTTTTCAGTCAAATGTTTAATTGCAGTTGTTAATCACTTACTGTATTACATATGTTTTTATATCGATATCATAATATTCTCTCACCGTTGAGTAAATCACAGACATACTGAGAATATATGTGTGCGGCAAATATACACTCAATACTGTTTATGACGACATCGTTTAGATTCAACATACCGGTTATATTGAATAAAATCAAAGGTCCCGGCTGAATACTATGTGTTAGGTACTTAATAATAACGTTATCGGCTGTTACGACCATCGATTTTACGACCGAATATGAGTAGTCCTTTCGATGTCGTTATAACAGATTTTGACTGTATCTGGATATAAGATGTTAAATAGTTTGTTGAAATTATCTGTCTTCTGAATAGTGGTTGGTATACAAAGTAACAGTGAATTAGGTAAACACTATTTCAAGCAGTCCAGTCTTCTTATATTCGCAGCAAATGCTAGAATATTATGTAAGTTCAAATGCTTTGACATGTGCATACTGTAAAACTCATGAGTAAACAAATTTTGGTACATTTCTCTTGATCCTCCAGCATACAGCATGTAGGGTAAATGTAAGATGTATTGTCCGATACAGTAAGTAAATTCTCCTTACTAGGTGGAAGGTGAATGCAGCGTCGACCTTTGAAGAGGTAGTATAGTTATAACATGACATTTCATCCTCAAACAATCTCTACAGGGAATAGATGATGCTGTTGACAGAGATATTCGAACATTCATCCGTGCAAGTTACAGCGTATATAATGTAAATTAAGACAGTAAATAAGCATTTTTTTTTTATTTTTACATCTTGCCATGTCAAAACATTTACCCCTTTACTTATAAACTTTTACTTACCAGATAAATGAGAGAAACATTGTTATAAGAAAGGGGTTTAAGGATTTGCAATTATTCCTTGGGGTCACTCTGTCAATAAACTCACATGGGTTTACTCATGTGTTTAGTGGCACTCCTTTAGCTCCGAGGCAGCTAGACAATATCCGTATGGGTAAACCGGGCTACAAGTTCTGTAAGCGAGTTCCCAAGGCAACTAGAATAATAGGTAGAACGGTGTGCCATCGTTGCATCTGCACATGGGGTACGGTATGTCGGTCATATTCAGTGCTCCTAACATAATTGTGCAACTCAGTCGAACAGGTGGCGAAAGTGTTTATGGCGGCCACGCATCAGCGAGTCTGGGACCATTTCACAAAACCACAGCGGAAAAATATTGAGACATGGCAGAAAATGACACAGGTGCGTGGGTCTTATACATTTGCCGGGGATTCGTTAAATTGTATAAAATGTATTCGGGAATGTTAGATAAACAAGAGTCTGCGCCAATAAAACAAATCAGCTTATAATTTACAGGCATATTTGATATGTAATGCGTTTAAAGGTAAGTCGGAAAACATTCAACGGCTGCAGAGAAAAGATAACATCGTGCGCAGACGGAAAAGTTTTTATATTATTTTTATTTTAACAGGCACACAAAATGCAGCTTAATTCTTGTAGTCCACCAGGATAATAGCCTTAAGGCAAGAAGTATATCCTAAACTTACAGTGGAAACAAATTCTTATAAATGCTCATTGCTTATGTAAAAGTGTGAGCGAAACTGACCGGAAAACAGTTTTTTTTTCATACAATCGCCAGAAGAATTGAAATAAAAAAAAATATTGAAAGACAGCACAAACAAAGAATAAGAAAGATAGCAGAAAGAAGCAGTCTGATAATAAAAAGGGTAAAACGTTTTAAGGACTTATAGAATATATTTTATTTTAGGAGTTTAGTACATTGAAAGAGGAGTTCAATGAAAAATTCTTCGCTGATGAGAATGCTGAGTATAATGGGTTTTTAAATAAGCAATTCTGTGATAACAATGAAGATCTCAAGCGGTTAAAGGTATGTACCGACTTCTCTCAGCCTCGATTGGCGATCTGCCCCGCTTTCTATTGTCCTTCAGCTTGCCAAGGACAACCAGCTTGTATAAAAACAGGGACTTCTGTGTATGTAGCGTGTAGCTCAGAGTTAAAGTTCTCAAATCAGGTTGCTGTTCACAATAAGCGTTAGGTAATTTTTTTATAATATTGTCTCATAGCTTCTATATTGTTTATTGTTGTTGTATACTGTGGACGCGTCAAAGTTTTTTGTAATACATACTTGTTTTAATTGGAACATACAATTTAGGATAGGTAAGGCTGGTTCCAAAGTTACTAAATAGTATTCTATTATTTAATTGGTTATTTTAATTATAGGTAGAAAATGAGAGCCTGCAATTCCAGTTAGAGGCATACAAAAACGAAGTCGATGTGATAAAGGCCGATGCACACAAGGAAATGGAAAAATTCAAAGCACAATTCATTGCGCGACAAGCTTTGAAGGGGACGTTTGATAAAAATGTGAGTGCCATATTTTCATACTTATATTAGATAGGAAAAATTTGTATGTATTTGTAATAAACTGAAAAACTACATTATCCCTGATGCGAAAATATTAAAAAATAAATGTCCGGCCATGTGAAATCGACAGCCCGCTAGTATGTACAATATACATATACTAAAAAAGGTTCCTTTTATAAATCAACAACTTACTACAGAGTACATAAGTAGAGCTTTGTAATAGTAGATTGTTCAAACAGTACTGTGGTTTATGTTAAAAACAATGTTTTTGTTCGAATGGACATTGAAGACATGCAATCGAAAGGATTTCTTAGTTAAAAGTTGTATCACATTTGTAAGTATTAAATAATTATAATAATCCAGTGGCGCTATAACCCTAAATGGGTCTTTACCCTAGATTAAATCCGTTTCTTTGATCATTTTTTCAAAGAGAAGTAGATGATCATGCTTCTGTCTGACACAATATGTCGATTTTATTAATTTGAGACATGCTGGTTTCCTTACAATGTTTTCCTTCACCGTATGAGTGAGTATTAAATGCGCACATAGTCAGCAAGTTCATTGGTGCGAACCGACGATACGACTTGAGGGATAAAAGGCGCACGCTGAAGTCACTAGGCCAACACTGATTCTTGTCAGTATTAAATATAAATAGAAAGTGAAACAAACATTACTTTGACCTTGAATAGCCACGATTTTGTGCGTCAAAATAAAGTTTTTTTAATTATCTAATGTTTTATATTTTGGAATTGCAGCCTCCTTTGCCATCGCCTGTTTCAAAACCTCCCCCACCGCCGCCATTACCGGAAGAAGGGGAAGCGAGAATAAAACCGGATGTTGAACCGCAATGTGGGGAAGCTAAGCTTATTGGAGTCATGTCTGCATTTTTACAGGTATGTCCACGATAGATCGTATACTTTTAAGCACTTCATACAATATAGATATTGTATGAAGTGCTTTCGGCATATATGTCATTGTATGTGAGTTGGAAATTGGCTTGGTATTAGTGATGATACGTACCTACCGATGATATCCTCCAATTTCAAGTTCATTATCGTATTGGCGCCGTTTAGTTCAACGGCTAGGCAGTGAATTGAATGGCTAATTAAGCTAGTTGGCTGCCAAATATACATAAAAACTGACCAATATTAACATTCATAATATAATAAAATATTATTATGTTAGGAGTACAAATAAGTTTCCGCCGTTTTTTATCAAAAATTAAATATTTATTATAGAAGAACGGTAATATAAATTTATTTAAAATATTGCCCATCACTTGCGACCACTTTTTCCCATCTCTCAGGCAGCATTCGAATCCCACGTCTGAAGAACTCCTTGTCTTTTGAGGCTATCCACGAATCAACCCAATTTTCGGTATAAGATGTGAACCGCTGCGCCGACAGAGCATGTGCCATGGACCGGAACAGGTGATAATCGGACGGTGCAATGTCTGGTGAATACAGCGGGTAACACTTCCCAATCAAGTGTTTCCAAATACTTTTTCACGGGAGCCGTAACATGTGGACGAGTTATGCAGGAGAATAATTTTTTCGTGTCTAGAATAGTATTGAGGGCGTTTTTCCTTCAGAGTTCGGCTCAATCTCATCAATTGTGTTCGATAGAAGGCTCCAGTAATTGTTTCGCTCGGATTAAGCAACTCATAATACACTACACCTAGCTGATCCCACCAAATACACAGCATAAGTGTTTTTGCTGTTGATGTTGACGCGTGGCCAGGTAATCCCCATGATTTTCTTCTTTTTGGATTGTCATAATGTATTCACTTCTCATCACCAGTTACGATACGATGTAGCTAGCATAATCGGTGTTCAATATCTCTCGGCTTTAATCTTCCTCCAATTCTGCATCCTCGTAAATTTTTGGCCTTCCACTGCGATCTTTCTCTTGTACGTCGAATTCACCGTTTTTAAACTTTTGAAACCACTCACGACACGTTCTCTCACTCAAAGCACCCTCACCATATGCTTCTACGAGCAATCTGTGCGCCTCAGCAGCAGATTTCTTTAAATTAAAGAAGTAAACTAATATTTCCCGCACATGACGCTTACTTGGCTCAAATTTCGACATTTTCAACTAATAAAAATTACATTTTACCAATATGAAATCAATAATATTAATAGGTTATGTTGTTCTTAAATGTCCAAACTATCTTTTAAACCGGTTATCATCTGCGAAAGCTAACGGACACTCCGTGCCGCACCATCTACATTGAAACGGCGGGAACTTATTTGTACTCCTTAATAATTATAGGCCATATTATATTTAAATTTTTTTCCTCACGTTGTTTCATCTTTTCAATAAAATAACGAAATAGGAGTGACAGTGTTTATAGCCAGTTCTTTTCGTCATTTCCACGCCAAGGGCGTGATTTGAGAACTGACAGTAAATGTAAAATTAGAACCATAATTTTTTTTAGTGACGTAAGTGTACCTACATAAATAAATATAACTGGGCTATAGAAATGATGCTTTGAAATAGGGTCCATGTCCATTCCCCGACCAGACAGTTCTAGTACATATTATCAAATAGGTTTCATATGTTTTAGGTTCACCCACAAGGCGCGAGTCTTGATTACGTAGTATCCTATGTCCGTGCATTGTTCCCGAATGTCTCACAATCAGCAGTCCATGATGTTCTCCAGAAATTCCCAGAGGTATTTGAAAGGAGCACGAGTGGCGTTGGCGCAAATATTGAACACAAATGGAAATTTATCGCGTTTAGTGCATAAGTTAATTTATAATATCAGAAGGATTATGTATAAATAAAGTATTTTTTCCAAGTTTGTTTATTATTTACATTCAGATGCGAAATTATGCGAACAAACAAACTCCGACTTAAAAATTCTTTAAGATGTGTTAAAATATTTAGAATATTTAAACTTAGTTAAAAATACAGTTTACTGGATGAAAACCGTTTATCACAATAATTATACAATGGTTTTCACTTTAAAAAATAAAACTAGATCTTATATTGATACTTTACCCGCCGATAAGTCTGCTAAGATAATTATAATCGCATCGGACTCAAGCGTACTGTAAATATTTCTATAATTAAATAAAAACCACAACAAATTTAATGAAATAAAGTGTAATATTATTTTCCATATTAGTATCCTAATTATAGTATGAACCCTAAAGAGAAAAACCAATACAATCTCAACTTTCTTAAACCTACCTTATAGTCAGTTATGGTAAATAAAAAATCTAATTATTGTTCAAAAATCAAAAAAAAAAACGGGTTGTCTGTAAAGTCGGTTTACTGACGAAAGTTGTGACAACTTATTATAGAAAAAAAAAATTAAATTTTATTTGTTTGATAGGTCTTCTGTATGGTTATATAGAGGGGGTAAAGGGAAGACCCAAACACACCTTGTTGATCCTCGTTACATTTATTTGTACGCATAAATACAATTATGTCAATTTTAAATGGAACGCCTCAGAGCGAGGGAACGACGCAGAGCGAGGTAACGCCTCAGAGAGAGGTAACGCTCAGAGCGAGGTAACGCCGCATGAGTCATGTTTTTCGTGCGTGCAGCCGGCTCCATCGAATTATAAGACGTTGTCACGTCAAAAGGTTTATTAAAGACTCTTCTGTTGTGCTCGTAGTTCATTTACCATTTGCATATACTCGGCAGTGGCTTCTTCTAGATCCCTGTTGAAAAACAATAAACCTAAATTTATTTGGGACGGTTGTGTCGATTTTTTTTATTCCTGAGTCCATGATCACAGTTCAAAAAAATCTATATTCTCCAATTATATGCTCGGAATTAATACTTTTTTAATATGCAGTCTTATACTTCGATAAGTAAACTCACTTAAAATAATACTGTTGTTTTTATTTATGGAATTATTAATAATTTATGTAATACATATTACTAAAACAGTAATATCTATATAAATTACCAATCTTTAATAAATACTAGCGGACCCGACAGACGTTGTCCTGCATGATATTACAAGCGATTAGGATATTAAACAAAGTATGAAAGTACCGACTCAAGCGCCATCTCCCGGGCTGATTTGTTAAACTAAACTTTCCAGGGCTCCACCCAAAATAAAAAATCATTCAAATCCGTCCAGCCGTTTAAGAGCAGTTCAGTGACATACACACGTACAATAGAATAAGATATATTCTAGTTATCCTGTCTTTTAAGCTAGATTTTGATCTATTTCTTTATCTATTATTATTTATCAAATCTCCACACCGTGTGCAGTTTGCTGCAAATTTGATTAAAATCGGTTAAGTATTTTAGGAATCCATAGCGGACAAACAACGTGACGCGTAATTTATATATATTAAGATAATACATTGTTGCATTTTATCAGACGTTGGTCCTGGGTTTCTGCCTAGGAGATTCCTGTCTTGTGGGAGTCCGTTTCCGAGGTACATCTTTGTTCTTCGTACATTTTATTGTACAACCTGCTTGTTTCACGTTAAAATTTATTTTTGATGGGCTTTTAAATCATTATACTTTTTATATCTTTGTTTACCTGTCATTAACGCCCGGATCAACTTCAGCTGGTGGCTGGTTTCCGTCCCGATCTTGACGCATTTTAAGTCGTAATTCGCGCATACGTGCCTCGAGTATGCGCTCACGTTTGTTTTCTCGCTCTAAAATCTATACAATATAACCATCATTATCAACAAAATAAAGCACTGTAGTGAAAATTCATCCTTGTATGGAAATAAGATAATTAAAATTGGTTAAGCCTGAAGGGCGTACCTATCCGTATAAAACTCATTTTTGTATTTACAATGATTTTTCTATACGTTACGAAGATCAATTGGAAATATACATGGGTCAACAGTTGTTTGTCGTTTTTGTCAGCCGTGCCAAGGTTTTGCGAAAGCTCTGCCAAGTAAATTGTTCCTTTACTGCTCCCACATGCGACTAACTGACCCTGTAAAATTAAAAAAAAAACATTATATGTAAAAAAATATATTACATGATGTTTATATTAGAATATAAACTTCTTTATCTAATTAAGGGACCGTATTACGTTAGCACATTTACTGCAATTTCCCCCCACCCCCTCTTGTCAGCAAAAGTAAGCAAGGCTCAACAATAATAGTATATAAACGTAATTTTTTTTTGTAGGTAGCCTCGAAAATGCATTTCGTTTTCAAGCATAGACAATGTGTGGGTAATATCTGTAAAAAGTAAATAATTACTGGTGATTACCAAATAAGAAAAACAAAGACCCCCCTATAGTGCTTACGTAATACTTGAACGGCCCCTAACTTATAGACCTATGCAAACACCACGCAGTCGTTCCAAATATTAATTTATACTCAGAATCGATATATACCATAAGTTGTCTTAAAGCATCTGATTTCTGAAGCTTCGCCGGAAAGACGAAGAAGGCGCAGAATGGAGAGATTAGGCGCTTTACGGGAAAGGGCTATCTACTGAAAAAGCAGTTGCTTTATTTCATATTAAAGTTTTACACTTACCCCCTCATGAGGCCGCACTTTTAGTAATGGTTCATCACAAAGCTGTGCTGTAACTATCGGTGCGCTTCTACGACGTAATAAATCCCAACATGACAGACAGCCGTCCCACTGTGTTATCAGCATTAGAGAGAATCTATATCACCGAAAAATTTTATGAATTAAAAAAATACTAAGATATTGTTATATCTTCTAGCAACACAAGAGGTCACGTTTTCTGGAAATATATTCAGAACTAAAACAATATGCAAAAGATCATTAAAGAACATAATATTTTTAGTCAGTTAGTCTAGATAATTTTAAACAGATATCTGTAGATTATGTAAAATAATTAAATTAATAATTTTAAATTGTGATTATTAATTTAGTTTTTCGTTTAAATACCTGATAGGATTCCAAGCGCCATCTGTTAATTTTGTTTGATGTGAATACGTCCACAGAATTGATGATTCACGACAATCTTCACTCCATACTCGAGCAGTCCAGTCACCAACAGTAAGAAAATTCTTTAAAAACGTCGGATTCCTTTGAAGCGCATATACTGGGCCTAAATGAGCTTCGTACTGAAATGTTTATTCAAGAAACAAATAAAACATACACTAATAATTGGCATGCAACAACAGTGGAAGATTATTAAACTATATTCTTTCTGTAGACATTATAAAATCCTTGGTGCCAAAATTAACGTTTGCAAATCAAACTTCAAAACTAGACTAGACTGCTCATAATCGATCCCGATTTCAGTATTTATGTTTTGTTCTACGTGATCCCAAGATGGCCGCGACATCATTGCTAGGAACATTCAAAGAACTACATATATCGAAATTGTTAATTGCTAGTAAAATGTTGGGTTCGCCATCGCTGTTGAGTGAGTACCGGAGTTGGTTTGCTATAAAAATAAAAATTTCAAGCGATAATTTCTTATGGGAAGGTAAAAACCTTCGTTACGTAACGCGTTACGGCGCCAGTCTGTCTAGCTTCCCTTTCTCTCACGCGGCAGCCGTAGGCAGGCTCCTCCTCTATCACTCTAACAGCGTTGATGAAGTCTTTGTAAGCTTTTTAGATGACTTACAATGTAAAAATTTCGTTGCTTATTATAGCTGCCATAAGCCAATCGTTATTTTTATAGGATTAAATAATGATACTAATAATGTAAATGTACAAAATTCTAATGTACATATTCAAGAATTGCAAGTATAAAATATATTTTATATTCAATAGAAGATTTTATTAATAAATAGCCTTTCCTTATATTATCGTATAAAATTACACAAAATTGAAGTAATTATTAATATTTTAACTATTTATAGATTTTCTTAAGTTAAACAATTTAAGTAGTTCAACTTATATTAGTTTAACTTATCACTTCTGTCGGGCGTCCCGAGATGCACACATTATTTTATATTTTAAATATTGAATTTTATTGATTAGATATATTATTAGATGTACGGATACTACTCACCTTAGAAGGCAACTTTTCTAATGGCGTTTTGCCTTTTCGGTTTCCTCCTATTACAAGCCCAGATTCAGTTCCAACCATGAATCTTTAAATGATAAATTTCTTATAAATATGAAAATACAATAACAAACGTTGGAAATGGTATACTTCCACCTACCTTGTTGGAATCGTAGATTCATATTCCAGTGCAGATATGCCCAGAGCTCTGTTGATGCTTTGGCTCTCTGAAGCTAATCTTACAAGGTCTATTATCATTGAATCTGTCGGTTCATTCATATTTCGAATGTCCCACCTAAAATGTATTATCTTAATATATATAAATTACTAGTGGAGCCCACAGACGTTGTCCTGCATGATATTTAAAGCGATTAGGATATTAAGCAAATTATGAAAGTACCGACTGCAGTGCCATCTGCCGGGCTGATTTGTGAATCTAAACCATTCCCAGATCCCCTTGAACACACACAAAAAATTTCATCAAAATCGGTCCAGTCGTTTGAGAGAAGTTCAGTCACATACACACGCACACAAGAAATATATATGTATATTAAGATGTGTCACGTTGTTTGTCCGCTATGGACTCCTAAACTACCGAACCGATATCAATCAAATTTGCACACCGTGTGTAGTTTGATCCAACTTAAAAGATAGGATAGCTTACATCTCAATTTATACCCGCAATATTATTTTATTGCAAAATATTTGTTTATTATTTGATTGTCACAATTCTAACAGATGGCGCTGTGTTGAAAGTACCAACGTTTCACATAAGCTACAATTTAATGGCATAACCACCAAAAAAGCATGGTGGTCCCCAT